TCGTATTATAATCTAATTAATAATATTTCTTAGGTTTTTATTTCGAGCAGTCATTAAAATTTATTACTTAAATTGAAACTGCATTTCTCCCTCCATGTACGACAGCTGGCAATTGTAAACTAGAGAGACATTTGAAGTTAAATAAACATTCATCGAATGTTCTTTCCGTGGAGGATAGATTTTTGTCAGATATATTATTGATGAAAAATTTCACTCAATACCTTGCGCATACGCAACTTTAGATCATATCCTCCTTGCAGTCCTTGTCATCCATTATAAATTAATCATTCGATTGCCGTATGTATATACATAAACTCGTTCGATTGCCGAGTCCTTGTTCCGTGCCCGGACAAATATATTCTTAAAAATTAGCATTAATGTAACAAATAAATATTTAACGCCACGTATTACGGATATGACCGCCTTGTTGTCCTTATAGGACGTGTCTTTGACTGACCTCGCGCATCTTAATTACAAATAATCACTAGCGTTCGTTTATTCTAAGCGATAAACTTTTAGGCTCTCACGAAAGTTTCGTTGGCTCTTCAATGCAGCGATTCTCGATGGCACGGGAGCAAAAGCGTGCAAAAGTGTCTGGTTCTTTAAAAAAGAACGGATTGCCGATGAAGTTTACCGATGATTTCAACGTAATCGATTTAGTTCCTTGGAAAAGCCAATCTCTCAGACACGACGCAAGGCGTCTTTATTTAAATATACTGTCATATATTTAATATATTTTATATATTCAATCCATGAATTCTTAAAAAAATTAAAACAAACCAACAGTTCCGGAATCTAGGAATATGAAAATACAGAGGACCTCGGCGTGATTGCTCGAGCACGTGAGAATCTAACGATCCAGGAGTCCAAGAGTTCTAAAGCATCGAAGGATTGGCACGTCCAAAGATCAGCAAATTCAAGAACTCTCTACCTCCGTTCTTCTTACATGCGTCATATGTGGTATAAATTTCTCACGTCTTCGAGAAGCTCGAGAGAGGCTCCTTGTAATTCTGCATGCAAGAACATAAAAAACCAGGCAAACTTTCGCAAGGTCCCGGCGTCTCTTTTCTCTCTCTATTTGTTTATATTAATTATATAATAATATAACAAATCAGTCTAATCTTCCTTTATAGAAAATATCCCTGACGACGGTGAATATTTCTTTGCGTCGGCGGTGACGCTCGTGGTCCTGAAGATACCGAGCAGACTGCTCTTTAGACGGGCGTAGATCTCCTTGCGCACGGTAGCCGTAAACTTGGTAGTCAGGCAGCTAATCGCCGCCGTCGCGAAGATCAGATTGTAGAGGAGAACGAGCTTGAAGTTACCGAGCCACTCGATGCGTCCAAAATCACCCAATAGATCAAAGTTTGTCATTCCTGGGAAAAATAGGAGAAACGTAAGCAGAGTAGCAATAATAAAATGCCAATCATGTAAAACTCTGCTCTCTAGTATCACTTCTTTTAAATGTATTTTTGTTATAATAACAAATAATTTGTTACTTATAATATAATTATATTTTATGCTCCGTTCGCGCGAATCTTTATAACTCGAAAATTACTTGTATTTAACATCTTTGTTAATAAAAATATTGATTCCAAATTGATCGAAGAATTTATCATTGAAATGACATTAGTAAAAAAAAAAACTAAATATGCAGAGTTGAATTCAGAAATCTTATCCGAATTCATTCAGGTATCATTTTATTCTTATTTAATAGGATTATCGGTGAACAACAAGGAAATAAAATGATAAAACCTTGAATTCCTGAATGCACTCCAGATTATATATTTATATTGTCTGAACGAGAAATAACAAGCAAGCAGGTCTATTGTTAATTTTCAATTATTTCAGAATATAATTGAGTAGAATGGCTGGAATTGAGACATGCGTGTGGGATATAAATAAAAACATCCAGACAATTCGTGTCTTACCTAGTATTCGCGATAATAGTGGTAATGCCGAACTTAGCACAAGCAAGAGAGCACAATTCGCAATGAGATGTGTGAGTGGCGTGGAGCGGAACCTTGGTTGGACCATTCTCACGCCTGGTAAAGCGTACAGGCCGATTGCGCTAGTCACGGCCAGATAAAGAATCACTGCCACCTCGATGGCCGCACCGATGGGTCCGAGCTTGGACAGGGAACTGATGCCGAGCGTAAATTGCTGTCAAATTAAAAACAACTTTATGATTTTTCGAAGTAAAATTAAGATTCATATTGTATAAAAAAAAATGAAACAAGATTAGTTAATAAAATGCCAGCACTGAACAAAATCATTAAATAATTTACTTTAAAAAAATTTTGAAATAAATTTGTTGAAAGAAATTTGTTTCTTTTTGTTAGAATAAATTCATCGACTCTTTAATTGTAGCACGCAAAATTTATAAATTCATCATTAATATAAAATAACGATGATTCAAATTAATAATTGCAGCAAGATTTACGAAAGAAAGTTGATTAATTCAGAGGAAGGGAAGTAAATACGAACCCTCGTGCTCAACGGCAACGCCTTGATGCCTATTAGTAATTCTATAGTGTTTTGCACCGCTAATAGGGCCGTGGCGGTGGACAGAACGAGCAGCGCCAGCATCGCTACCGGATAAAGTAGCGTGCGCCGGACCCACCAGGTCCTCCGCTGTTGATCCAGCAACTGTCGCCGCTTCTGAACGTCGTCCAGCCGTTGAGAAAGACCCTTTTGCAGAGCACCGTTCCTCAGACACAGCAGACCCGGACTTATGCACAGTAATGGCTCATCATCCTCGTGCGGCAACCAACCACAGTTCGTCGCTGGCGACATCGGCACCGGCGATACGTACGACTTCCCCGTAGCTTTTACATGCTGTAATCTGAACACACGTTGAATTGTATATATACATATATAAACATTAGACAATGTGTAATGTATTCAATGTATATAAAAATATAAGGAAAAGAAAGAAAGAGATGATACCTTCTGCGGATACAGTCCTCTTCTAATCTATACGCGAAGAACTCCTCATCTAAGTTCTTCAGAAATTGGGGTTTAACAAGAAACGACCCCGCCACATCGAACAGTCGTACGAATCCCACTGGAGTGCATACTGAGGAATGAGTAATTCACCAGAGAATAAATTTTCGAGAAAAATGTTATGTTTGAAGAATATTACAAATTGATTTTTTTCTCTGCTGCGTAGATAGTAGAGTTGTGCGAAAATGTATGATACTTACGTAATAACATTACTACGCCGACGAACGAGACGCAAGAATATAGAAAAGGCAAATAATAACTCCATAAATCTGTAAAATAGATTATATTACGTCGGTAGTCTCACTCGAATTTATGTAACTATGCTGATAAAATCGTGACGGATGTCATAAATGTATATGAATATACTTAAATTGTAAAAAAATACGATTCCGTAACATGATATGCATTACTTACTGAGCAATGTGTGTAAACTTGAGTTTTGATAATCCAACAGGGCCGATAGGACATAGGTCATTCCTAGTACGAGAGTACCCAAGAGACAGAGAACTGTCACTGTCTCATACACTCTCGCCATCACGCCCTATGATTGCAGAATGATTATAAAAAAAAGATTTGGAAGCTTATTAAGAATTTTTCAAGATTTTGTCTCACCTTTTTATGGCCTTCGAAACCCTCCGATTCCGTGAAGAGATAAGCGAAAGGCAGAAACACGAAAAGCGACAAGTTCGAGAATAGGAACACGTGATTCCATAGACCTGTCAATGGAAATTAATTTTGTTATATGATATAACGTTTACGAAATGTAAACTACAGATTTATTACAGAGATATAAACTGAGGATTGAATTATATCAGACGAATTCATATCTTGTTCTGCTCTTCCTTTTTTTTATTAATGCTTTAATCTTTTAAAACTAATCAATTCTTTAATCTTTCATCTTTTATATATATATATATATATCTTAATATTAATTTTTTATAATTGTAATATTATTTCGAATTATAATGTGATTGTTTTTAGATGATTGTAACAGAATTAAAAAAAGACTACTCTATCTACTTATTTATCTCTTTATGAAACCTGTCGTTACATCTACATGTGCATTTGTTTCTTAATTATATATCTTGAGTGACTCATGTATTTGAAATGTATTTTTCTCAGGTTATTCAGTTCAAGATTTTACCTTGGATGAGGGAGCTGTTGAGCCACTTGACGTAGTAGCTGTTTGGATATAAGATGAGGACCTCATTACTAGCGATAGACACCGGAAGTAAGAGGGTCGCGCCGACGGAAATCGCCAGGGCGACCGTGCATAGCCAGAGACTGATCCTGTACACGGTGGCCTCATCCTCGTCCACCGACAGGTAGTCCTCGCGATCCCGGCGTCTAAAACGCGCGATCAGCGCGTAACTTGAGATATATAGCAGCAAAAAAAGCAGCAGATATATCTGCAAAGAATTATGTTTTGTTAATAGCATATTAATATATACATACACTGAGAAATGTAACCACGAGGTTCCTTTACATGTAAATGAAACTCATGGTTATGAACGAAATTAAAAGTAATGAATGATTTGAAATGACTGAAAATTAAGTTACAGTAGTTACTTAAATGTAATGAACGTGTACATTAAATTTATGAAATTTAATGTACTTTTAATAAAATTTTATGTACATATATACTTTTTAGTTATAAATACATTAAATTTATAATGTAATGTCTTGAAATTAAGTTCAAATTGTGTAACTTAAAAGTTAATGAAATTTAAGAATATTTCTAACAGTGTATAATTATTAGTATAATTAATACATATATTTATACATATTATTATTAATATGTATATATTTGTATTATATATTGTATTATATATTATACATTAATATACATATAATGTACAATAATATATTATACAATAATTATATATATAAATAATTACAAATAAATTATATACAAATAATTAAATTAACAATGGTTTTATATTAATTATATTAGATTTTTTTAAATATTATGAGATATTCTTTTCAGTTGCGAATTCAGTTTATAAACTATTGTATAGTTATTGTATGCAAATTACAGCGTGTGCTTTAAGTGATAAGTGATAACAGTCATGAAGAGATAAGAGACCACTATGAAAAAAATAGGTCAAAAATGTGAAACAGCATTTTTGCAAATACTATGACTCATGATAATTGAATGCTTAGCAATTGTCGAGATGTCGACACATCATGTTACGTAAATCACGTTGAGCATCATTCATTGCCATTCACAGTGATTAAAAGAATACCTCCAACATCAGAAAATACGGAAAATACGTCGGTAAACGAAGCCATATATATTACGACTGAAATTTTAAACTCTGAACTGCCTTTGTTCTTTTGTCTGATATAGTATTTGTAAATATCGATCGGTAAATAATACAAATTCCAAAGATTAATCGAATATTTGGTTTTTAGAACCAATTGCAAATAAACAATATTAATTCCTGAAACAAAAAAAAACAGCTAGCTTAGCTTTCTGATATCCATATAAAGTTCGCATATTTTCATATTGAATTGTATAATGATAAATTTCTTTTCTTTTGTTAATCATATATATACATTTAATAAATAATATATTTATTAAGTGTATTTATTTTAATTATATAATATTAAGTATATTTATCTCCTAATAATCTCTCATTAATAAATTATATTTCAAACTGACGTAATGAAGGAGCATCAATCCAAGATCTTAGGCGCCACTACACGATAACGAGCAGCTCGTGCATAAGCAACGGATCGAATTGCTCGACCATGATGACCAACCTGGGACCGTCTATGCGTTTAGGTTTCATTTATTAATCCTTCTCGATCGATACACCTCGCTTAGTCTTCGTCTTCATTTATTCAACCGCATTTATTCAATCTATTCTAAGCATTTTTTTTGCATTTACATTTTCGCGCATACATTGGAGTTTGTCGCCGTCATCGTTATAGTCATTATTATGATGTTTGTATATAATCAACAATACTAATTTGCCCGGGATGCAATAACGGAGCCTGTATAATTACGGATGAATAGCCATGTGCGTGTGACATTTTCGGCATCGTTGCTGGCAACGGCCTCTTGCCGAGAATAGGACGGATGAAAGTGAGACAGAACCGATCTTCTGCGAGTCCAATGTACCTAGCCGGAACTTGGGTGTGGCGAACGAGGCATTTGCTTCATGCAAAAAAATTGAAGAGTGGCAATATAAACTTTTATTTTAATTCGTACGCTAATAGTGACTATTATCATCCATTTTTATATATTTGCAATCGAGCGCTTCCTGTGTATTAAATAAAATATGTATGTAGATATAAATTTTGATAGAATAACCGACAATTTTGCAACACGTAATATTTCTCCATTTAAAGTATTAATTTAAATGGAGAAATACATTTTCTCTGTGAATAAGAATCAATATTATTTATATAAATGTTAAAGGGTTATACTGTACACATATTTTACTGCCATTTTAGTAATTATATTTCATTCGTTTGTAAACATATCACATAATCTATATTTGTAATAAACATATATATTGTATATACGTATATTGATCATATCGCTCATTCGCTACTACGACACAATTTAAAAAATAAAATTTTCCAGAAAATAAGTTGAGTGTTTGGAATTAAAATATGTTGTAATATTAATTTTAAAATACAATTAATTTTAAATATTAAATATAGTGTTTTTCTTTTTTGCAAGCAAAAACTTTTTGAGTTGTCATTATTGTAGCAAATGAATGATGCATTCATATTAAATTAATATTTGATATATATATATATATATATATATATATATATGTGTGTGTGTGTATATATATATATATATATATTAAATAATTTTAATTAATATCATTAATTAATATTATTTTTTTTATTATATTTCTGTGAAAAAAATATCTTTTCCTGGAATACAGTCTTTCCTTTTGCTTCGAGCACCAATCTAATTCTGGTTTCACGCGTATTTAATTTACATAGAAGTAAAGAAAAAAAAATTAAACTTCATCATAAAATAACTGTTATTTAAAACATCGAATAAAATAAGTTATTTCAAATAACTGTTATTTAAAAAACTGTTATTCCTGTCTATCCGATGTTTTATTTAATAACAAAATATCGAATAGGAATGTAGAAAAAGATGTTGAACTTTTTCTCGGTTTCTGAAAAATCGCGCGAATTTCATATCAATATCCCTCGTTTTTTTCTCACTAACTGTGCTCCGTAAATGATGATATATCATTTCATTTTTATCACTGTTCACCGAATGTTAAACAAAGATAAGATGATAATACATCATTTTATGACGCACTTGACGGAATCAAGAGTTTGATTATATTAAGTTGCTCTTTGAAGTTCCAACTCGCTTTTATCTCGTTCGTGTACAAATCTATGCGCAGTTTGAATATTGATCACGACTTTATCGTCTGCATTTCGTAATCTTTATCCTCTTTCTTGCTTTTTCATTGCACGTGACAGCTGCTTCCGGATTGACTAAATGCGGAAGCGAAGCAATTGGATTACCAGGCGGGTCGCGAAAAGGAAGTGGTACGTGCTTTCACGATACTTTCCAAAGAGGTAAAAGTCGATGAATATATGTTACCAAAAAATAAGGTATTAGGTAAACTCATGTTTTATCTAACACTAACAACAAGTAGAAGTTTTTATTTCATCTTGTAAGTTTTAATCATAGATAATTGAGACAACCGCTGTTATAAAATCCCTCTAATCTTTTCCTAATACTTTCCCAATTTATTTTTTCCTAATATTTCCCTGATTACTTCCTAACGTTTTTCTAATCTTTTTTTAAATGTTGCTTTCCCTTTATTTAAGATCTTGAAAGAGGCGCATTTTTCATAATTTATACTTGTTATTTATACATATTCTTTTCTTATATATATATTCGATACTTCTATTTTATATTTTATTAGAGAGTATCCAAGAACCTCTTCGATCATGCGAATATAGGATTCTTTCTTTTATTAAGTAGGCGTAGCAAACTACTTTAAAATTTCAATGTTTGTCCGTTCGAATATTCAATTGCAAAATTTCTCAGAAACGGCTTAATCTTTTTAAATTCTGTTTTTGACAAGATACCCAAAGACTTTAAATCCACCGAGGCAAAGTATAAATCAAAGTTGATCATCCCAGCAGGATCCCAAGATTTGATCGTCTAGAATATCTATTAAACATGATTTTTCAATTGATAATGTGAATTTTTTGATATTGCTCTTGCAATGTAGCACGTTCTCTTATTAGAACAGAAAACGATAAAGAGTTAGTTATATTCTAACATTAAAATTAATTACACATAGATATAAAATATAATACATTGATAGAAACGCACATTAATTATATCCGCAAAGGATTTATTAAATATATTGTATTATTCATTTCGTTTTCGGTCCATCTTCTATTTATTATTTTTTATATTTTACATTATTATTGTTGTTCTTATCCACTTATTATTATTATATTTCATACTTTGTACTTTATATTTCTTCTATGCTTTAGACTTTGTTCTAATAACTTTGTTCTTATATCTTACATTTTTTTTCTTTTTATACTTCTTTCTATAAAACATTTCTTTGATATTTCTTTTCCTTCTGTATAAAGATCTTTGATCTCGACTACTATTTCGGCTTCTTCGTTCAAGATTCTCAGCGAAGCGACCGGTTTCTTGGAGCATCGTCGTGAGGAATCTTCGCAAAACAAAGACGTTGTCCACGTTCGCCGGGCTTCCTTCGTGACAGCGATTTACAAGATGCATTCGACGTCGGGTGAATGTACTTGTGCTAGACATCATCGATGATTGAAATTCTTCCGTTCAAAAAAAAAAGTTTTCGAGTTTACGGATGAAGGAACAGAACGAGAAAGAAAGCCAGAGATTTAACTCTATATACGAGACGTCCTAGGTCCAGTGGATTATCTTCTCATCCACGAATTCAAGTCGTGAATTCAAAGTCAAATTTCGCCATCAGATTCCTCTGCGATTAATATCAATTTCTATTAATATATTAGGTGTTGGAATTAATTCGTAGCGTTTTTTAATGAAAGAATGTTATTTATTTCACATGAGCATTAAAAAATACATTAATGAAAGTACTTCCCATCACTTGTAAAACGCTACGAATTAATTCCAACACCTAATAGATTAACTTTGATCTCGATTTAACTTAATTTTCATCTTTCTCTAGCTCTAATATCCATTTTTCTATCAATATAAATTATTATTTAATCTCATAGGAAGTGGATTATGTATTTTAAAATGAGATGAAAATAAAATTATAAATTAAAATGAATAGACTCATATGATTGCAATGCAATTTAACAGTATCGTGGCTTATTTCGAGCTTTTTAAACAGGTGACATAGAAATAACATATGTATTTAAATAGATGAAAATAATTAGTATAATTAATTCAAAATACATGTATGCCACGATACTGTTGAAACAATTATAAATATTCTTATAATATTTTTTGCTCGCTTTTATAATTATTAATTTTCACCTCAAGATACACATCGTTCTAATTAATAAACAACATTACAGCAATATAACAGTACTTAACATTGCAAATTATACAGAAATGTTGCTGCAAACTTTTATGCTGTATAGGTAGTTTTAATTTTTTATCGTTTTCTATAAATTAGAAAGACAGAGTAAATCAAACCGAGATCAAAGTTCATTTATATTCGTAGAAATTATCATAAAAATTAAAACATTTTATTGAAATCTTAAAAAAGTTTCGTGAGAATTTACGGTTTTTCCAGATATTTTATTCAAAATTCCAGATAAGAGATTTAAAAAATCAAAAAGAGTTTAAATCGAAGATTAATCTATAGGGTGTCTCATGTGAAATTGCTCAAACTAATAAGTTGTCATTTTTAAATATACGTATAAGGAACAAAAAAAATATCATATCTTTCAATAAGAAACATTTGACAGTTTTATTTTATTTTAAGATAAAGCAACGATCGGAAATATTTTTAACATTTAATATTTATAAAAATGCTAAACATTATCAATCTTAATATTATATATTTTTGAAATGTTGCTGCTCTTAATCTTATATGTATATATATTCTGTAAATTAAAAAAAAATTTGATATTAAAAAAACATTTTAAAAATATATAGCATTAAAATTGACAATATTTTTATAAATTTTTATTAAATGATACAATATTCGTCTTCATTTTATGTCTAAATAACTGTCAAATATCTTCCATTAAAAGATATTTTATTTTTCCTATTCTTTAAACAGTTTCAAAATGACAGCTGGATTAGTTTCAGCAACTTCTCGTGGGACACCATGTAGATTGCTAGATATGGATGTAATCCACATTATTCACAAGTGGCGAATATGTTGGAGATTCATACTCGATATTAGCGCAGCTGAGACTGAAATAAATGACGAAAGATTAATAAGCAAACGATGCCTCGCGCTAAACAAAGGATGCTCGTTGAGCACCTTATTTATAAAACTGCGGAGAAAGAGAGACAAACAGAGAACATTTTACGGGAGGAAGCGAGAGGAACATCATCTTTTTCCTTGGCAATATTTCACAACTGTTGCTAAGATAAAATTAATTCTGGGGAGAGGGAGGGCCTTCTTTCGCTTGTAAACACATGTTCTTGCAAACTTGAATAGTTTTAAATCTCGCATCGGCCACGATTAATCGAGGACGAACGGGCATTTGTCCCGTTAAGATAAATAAACAAGTAGGCCCCGTTTGTCGATCCACGTCGGCAAACAGCGGTGGAAT